AAAAGAGATTATGAATGATTAAATGAATTTCTATTGGATGCATAAAAAGTCAAAACTTTTCAACACACACAGCTTAGCTACTGGAATTAGTAACTATTTACTCTTGAGACTCTCCAGTTATTTGTGCTACTCCTTCTTCTTGTTCTTGTGCATAAAGAGTGATAATATATTAAGAATTTCTGTAGGAGATATTCCAAATTACTGCTTACACACACGTATATTCTATTACAAAAATTACACCACTCAATGTAGTCTAAATTATTGAGAGTAAATTTTAACCATTCTTTTACAATGTTTTCTGAACTTAGTTGCAGACAATCATAATTATTAGCTGTTCAAGGTTTGCTCTGAAACTTACAAACCATGCAAAAGTGAAAACTTAGGCTTAACATATTTGGCAATTTGAATCAACTAAATTGAATCAATCTAAATACTGCTTTGCAAAGTAAAAAAGGAATCAAAACGACACATAAGACAATCACTAATCCCTATATTTTTAGAATCTATTTCAAGAAATTTAATACTACTTCTTACCATCCTAAGGATAGTGTAAGAAGAAAATACAGTATACATACAAGGAAGCCAACTGTTTTAGTGATACCCTAACTTTAAAAATAAAGATTTGCATGCCAATCTTATCACCAAACGTTCATTAATCCCTTAATACAATCTCTCCTTCTCAGAAAATTTACAAAGATAGAGCTGACAACTTTAATAGGAAAAATATTAATTTATAAAAATTGTAGCTCCTAAAACTTAACTCTAAAAATCACCAACTTAACTTACTCCTGCTGCTGCCACCAAATTATTCATTCTGAATGTTCTGAATTATTTATTCTGAATCATAAGCTAAGACTTTGTTATGATTATAGACTAAGACACTGTTTAATGTGGATTGCAAATCTTAAGAAAAAAAAAACAATACAACTTTAGCCCTTATTAGTTATTGTATTCATATCAGAGTATATTAAACTTCAATAAAGACTGGCAAGTCTATCTGGTCAAGGCACTAAAACACACAACTACATTTCCTCTACATTTTCCAAAGAGACCACCACCAATTTTCTTTATAAATACTTAGAAAACCAGTCTCACAAAAATCAGACATTTTTGCAATAAAAATATTCAAGTATAGCCAATACAAACATTTCGTATCCTCTTAAATCATAAACTTTCAAAACTTATCTATATGTAAAACTGGAAAATTCCAGAATCTATATTAATTAGACAAGAGATAAGCAAAGTTCAAATACTTAAATCACCCACTACAACAATTAAAAAAGTTCAATCTTTTGTAAATAATCTTACTTTTAAAACAAAAATACGAAAAAGCTAACATTATCTTTTACAAAGATAAATACTGAAAATAAAGATTACCTGGTTAAAAAGCAGTACCAAAAGTTCAACTTAAATACCACACAAGAATTTTTACTAAAATTATGAAACATAAAAAACTATATATTCATTTACCACAAAAAAGTAACTTTTACACTAAACCCATGGAACAAAAGAACTACTAAATATAATTTAATCTTATTGAGCCAAACTAGAAGTTGTATTCTACTTAACTAAGATGTACTCTATCTTAGTTAAATATGATTAATGTCTACTTTAATTCTTTGTGATGGAGATGGTTAGAATGGGGTATAGCAGCAGGGGTCTATTCCACTAACATTGTATCTGGCTGGTGCCTGTAATCCCAGCTACTAGGTAAGCTGAGGCAGGAGGATTACTTGAGACCAGTTCAAGTCCAGTCTATACAATAGAAAGAGACCTCCTCTCTTAAACCCGCCCCCCAAAAAAGACTGTCTGAATAGAATTTTGATGAAAAATTGTAAATTTCACATTTTTACAGATTTTTAAATACCAAGCAATGACTTTAAATAGTGATTTTAGTATTTCCACTGCATATTCATTCCTCCATTCTGTTTTAAATTAAAATCAGCCACAATGTTTAGGAAAACAACTATTTTTCTGCCTTAAAAAAACCAACTAGGCCAGGTGTGGTGGTTCACGCCTGTAATCCCACCCACTGCTTTGGGGGGCAGGCAGACCACCTGGGTGGGGTCAGGAGTTCCAGACCAGCCTGGCCAACATGGTGAAACACCGTCTCTACTAAAAATACAAAAATTATCTGGGTATGGTGGCACGCACCTGTAATCCCAGCTACTTGGGAGGCTGAGGCAGGAGAATCGCTTGAACCCGGGAAGCGGAGGTTGCAGTGAGCCAAGATCGTGCCACTGTACTCTAGTCTGGGAGACAGAGCAAGAATCTGCCTCAAAAAAAACAAAAACAAAAACAAAAAAAAACAAAAAACAAACCCACTAAAGCTAGTGCAGTAGCTCATGCCGTAACCTCAGCACTTTGTGAGCATCACTTGAGGCCAGGAGTACAAAACCAGTTTGGGCAACATGGCAAGACTCCATCTCCATAAAAAAAAAATTTTTTTATTGCAAAACAAGCCAGGTGTGGTGGTGCATGCTTGAAGTCCCAGCTACTTGGGATGCTGAGAAAGGAGGACCCCTTGAGCCTAGGAGTTCAAGGTTACAGCGAGCTATGGTCATGCCACCACACTGCATCCAGCACATGTAGCAGGACAAGACCTTGTTTGTTTAATTCTGAGTAAGAATGTTAGTTTTCCTGCCTCAGTAAGATTTATTTATTTATTTGGACCTCGTAATGCAACAGTAGCCATCTCACTAACATTATAGTATAAAAAAATTAATTGGTAATGACAAATGATCTCTAAATGATTATTATTTAGTAGTTGGAACTAGAAGATGAAGTCTAAAATAAAATCTGGAAATTTATTAAAATAAATAAACTTAATATGAACATATTTCCTCATAATGTTTCTCCCAAAGGCAATCCTCTACTTTCTGAAAATAAATTTGATTAAAAGTTATTTTAAAAAACTAATTTTTTTTTTTGTTTTTGAGATGGGAGTCTCACTCTGTCTCACAGGCTGGAGGGCAAGTGGCACAATCTCAGCTCACTGCAAACTTTGCCTCCCAGGTTCAAGTGATTCTCCGCTCAGTCTCCCAAGTAGCTGGGATTACAGGCACACACCACCACGCCCAGCTATTTTTTGTATTTTTAGTAGAGACGGGGTTTCACTGTGTTGGACAGGCTGGTCTCAAACTCCTAACCTCAGATGATCTACCCACCTTGGCCTCCCAAAGTGCTGGATTACAGGCATTAGCCACTGCGCCAGGCCAAAAAACTAAATTTATAGTACTATTACTCCTAAGTTTATGAAGACAGAGGGAAAGGGATACATAGTCTACCTAAGAGTTGTTTCACCTGTCCCAAAATGAAATCCTTTTGTACAATTTTCAAACTGCGCTAATCTATAGAATAAAATACTTAGAAACACAAGTGCAAATACTAACAAGTATTACTCTGAAATAAAAGTATGAAAACATAGATGAAGATGTGTATATGTATATAATATACATTTACACACAAAACATGAATTAGCATATTCTTACATCGTATTTAGTTAAGATGAACAAATATATACAAACACGTATTAAACAAGATAAAAGTAATATTCATTCAATTAACAGCACTGAATAGTACAAATAAAAACCATATTCTTATTTCACTAAAGGCAATTTAACAAAGACCTTGTTGATAGCACTGAATCTAGTTTTTGGCCTCACAACTTAAAAAGTAATATAAACATGGAGAGAATATTTAAAGTTGAAAGGAATAGTAAAAGGTTTTAAAACAAAGAAATACTATGGGATTCAAGATGCGATGGTTTAGGAGAAAGCTTAAAGGCCACAAAATATTATGTAAAACATATAAAGAATTATAATGCTTAATTTTTTTAAACAGCATTCTAATTAGCTGGCAGTTTTGTAAATCAAAACTATTGAAGAAATATTTTTCATAAGACATTGGGAACAATGGTATTAAGAGAGGTAGTAGTGTTTTTTCCCTCATGTTGCAAAAAGAAATGCTTAATGATCTAGGTTAGTCGAGGTAAAGCTTGGTTTGAAGGCAGGGGATGAATGACAAGACCTCTGAAATGAATTCCATCTCAGTTTTCAATCTTAAGTGAAGAAACACATCTAATAAAGAAAGCTATCCAGTGAAAGAAATATGGTTTACTCTACAGAAAAATCAGCACTAGAAGATATTCGACAGTACAAATCCACTTAGGACCAATGTTAAATGACTGTCCAAAATATTTTTATACTAGAATTATATCACATTAAATTCAACAGAGAGAAGTGAAACATTATTAGAATCACTTTATCCCTTCAAGACCTGGCAAGCAGTGGGGTTAGGAAGATGGGTTGAGAAGGAGGATGATGACTATGTATGCGTTACAAGATGAATATGTATATTATGAAGAAAACTCCCCAGGTGATTGATATACCTACTACTATTGCTGGGGAATTTTGTTTGAAGTAAGTGATGTGCTGATTATAGCTAAGAAATAATTTTGTCACACAGATCAATCACTTGAAATATAATTTTACCTAATGAATAGAGAAAACAGTTAAGGTGCCCATAACAAGTTAGTATTTCTTGCATATTTAAGGTAGTAAAGGAAAAACATTAAAGTTTTATGAAAAGTTAGAGTTAGATACGAACTATTAAAAAACTGTTCAATAGTATCTATAAAATAGATAAAGTTAGTTTAAAATTCGATTGTAGAAAAACATCCTAGCTCCTACCCACCATTCTACTACTCAGGTGTTTTCATAACAGTCAAAAGCATTACAACAAGAGAATATAAAAACATTTAAAATACAATTTCATTTAATTTTTATTTACACTTTAACAATTTGCTGGGAAATTAAACAACTTGCTGGGAAAATCCTTTGTGAGGCAATGTAGCCTTTTTTTATTTGAAACTATTTAAACTCCAAGACAGGCTCACTAACTCTTTCAAGTGCAACAACAAATGTGTTAGCTGAAAATAGCTAATTTAATTATTATTTGTGGCACAGACATGATTATGTGAGTCAAGAGAGCCTCCCCACCTCTGTCTCCCCTGTGGAGGAGGAGGTCTTTGTGTGCTTTTGTGTGATGGTTCCACTGAATTCATTACAATAGAAATGGACATTTGATATTCATAACGATCCAACATCTGAGCAATCTTCTTTCGAGACACACCATGTTTATTCCTCCTAACAAAAAAAAAAAGGATTATAAATCTTTGTTGCAGAATGTACAGGCTTAGAGATTAACTGTTTTAGAAAAAAAGTATACAAATTCTAAACAATATTTTGCAAATAAACAGAATATATGTTTCATCTGTCCACATTTTACGTAAAAAGATTTATTAAAAACTCAATGCTTTTATCAATACTTTAAAAAGGTAAAAGGATTCCATATATCACAGAAAAATGTTAATTACATCCTCTTCACATAGAACTACCTATTTATGCACTAAGCCTGTTGACTATATCCCCTTGTTAGTAACAAAATTAAAGATTATGAGATATTGTTTTAAGAATTACAGAAAGATTGAGTGGACTTCTAGGACTTACGAAAGTAGAAGTAAAATATCACTTTTTAGAACTTATTAATGACAGTTCGTACCACATTTTAAAAATTTATTATCAACACCAAATTAATATCAGAGACACAATTTGAACATCTCTTACAAACATAATGTTGAGTGAAATAAATTAGACACAATGAATATAAACTATATGATTCCATATATATATATATATATGTCTTATATATAATATAAAGGTTTGATAAAAGGCAAAACTAAGGTATGGTATTTTTTTTAACCTTGCCCCTGCCCCCTAAACTATGATATTAAGGTCAAAGATATTATGGCAAAACTTTAAAGAAAAGAAAGATTACGATTACCCAGGCAAAACAATGGTTACCTTTAGAGAATAAAAGGTAACTGTGACTGGGAAGAGGAACGCAAAGAGCTTCTGAGGTGCTGGTAATGCTCCCATGACGTAAATGATAGCTAAACGTGTGTTGATCTTGTAAGAACTTTGTTAAATTATATATTTATATTTATGTTTTTTCTGTATGTGAAGTTATATAATACTAAAAAGTGGTTTAAAATTTATTCTGGACCCTCAAAGAACTTCTGACAACTTATTTTACCCTCATAGTTTCCTGTAACTTGACCTGGACATGACAAAACATACAGAAAACATATTTTACATTTATCATTCTATATGTACAAATGCCAATTTACTTATCTCAAAAAAAGGCCAGAAATGTTTACTTTTCAAAGCTGATGTCTACATTCAAGATAAGAAGAAAAAGCAAAAAAGATAGGAAAAAAAATGAGATGAAGTTGAAAATTGGCAAGACGTGACTAAATCTGGCTGGGTGCAGTGACTCACACCTGTAATCCCAGCACTTTGGGAGGCTGAGGCCGGCCGATCGCTTGAGCCCAGGAGTTCAAGAGCCCAGTATGGGCAATATGGTGAAATCCTCTCTCTACCAAAAAAATACATATATATACAAAAATTAGCTGGGCATGGTGGTGTACACTTGTAGTCCCAGTTACTCCCAAGGTGGGTAGATTGCTTGAGCCCAGGAGGCAGAGGTTGTAGTGAGCCAAGATCATCACTACAAGCCGGGTGCAGTGGCTCACACCTGTAATCCCAGCACTTTTGGGAGGCCAGGGCGGGTGGATTGCTTGAGGTCAGGAGTTCGAGACCAGCCTAACCAACATGGTGAAACCCCGTCTTTACTAAAAATACAAAAAACAGCCAGGCATGGTGGCAGGCGCCTGTATGCCCAGCTACTGGGGAGGCTGAGGCAGGAGAATCGCTTGAACCTGGGAGGCAGAAGTAAGCTGAGATTGCCCCACTGCACTCCAGCATGGGCAACAAAATGAGACTCTGTCTGAAAAAAATAAAAACAGATCGCTACTGCACTCCAGCCTGGGTGACAGTAGTGGACCCTGTCTCAAAAAATATTTTTTTTAATTAAAAAAAAAAAAAAAAACCAAATCCGTAAGATGTCAAGACTTATGATTCAATCAATTCTTCTAAAAAATCAAACTACGCCAGATATCAGCTAACATGGCTTTGTTATATAAAGGTGAATTTATAATAAGAAAAGAATAAATTTTAACAATTCCTCAAAAATGTAATGAAGCCATAACTGCATAGCATTTTATCATTCATTTATTCAGCATTACTCAAATACTTTTAATTTTTAAGCTTCTGTCTCTTTCACTTCAGGTGTGATACACACACACACCTAGGCAGAGCAAAAAATACCAGATATTAATACTAATAAATCTGTTTATCTATACATGAACACATAGCATACAAATGAGAAAGAGAAAGTAGCCAAAGGAATGAAAGGCAAGAGGGAAATAAATTAGTTTGACCCCATACACAGAATAACAGCTTGAAGCAAACTGAGGTAGGTGGGGAAAAACTGGTTTAAAAAAAAGATGGGTGAAGGCTGCACATCTCTGTGAATATACAGAAAAACACTGCATTGTATGCAATTAAACAGGTGAATTGTAAGGGTATGTGAATTATATCACAATAAAGTTGTTACCTAAAAATAGATGTCGGGAGGTGGGGACAAGGAAGAGACTAGAAGTAAAGAGAAAAAAAAAAAAAAAAAGGCCTGGGCGATAGAGCAAGACTCCGTCTCAGGAAAAAAAAAAAAAAAAAGGCCAGGCACGGTGGCTCACGAGGTCAGGAGATCTAGACCATCCTGGCCAACACGGTGAAACTCCATCTCTACTAAAAATACAAAAAATTAGCTGGGCGTGGTAGCGGGTGCCTGTAGTCCCAGCTACTCAGGAGGCTGAGGCAGGAGAATGGCATGAACCCAGGAGGTGGAGCTTGCAGTGAGCCAAGATCACGCCACTGCACTCCAGCCTGGGCTACAGAGCGAGATTCCATCTCAAAAAAAAAAAAGGAATAACAGCCAGGAAACGCTGTGATATGAAGGGAAAAGCTAAATGTAGGTACAAATGGAAGAGTAGGACTGAAAATAATAGAAGCCCACAATCTCTCACCACAAATACTGAAATCTGATAAGCTGTGAAAACTCAGTTCTCCACTGACTCATTTGGCAGCAAACTCTAACCAGATCTATACACATTTGGCATCACAACTTAATGAGAACTGACTTTACATTATGCTGATTCTTTGTCATTTACTTGAATTGACTAGTCATGATTTGCTGCAGAAATATTAAGATGTCTGATTATAACATGCTCCCCCAAACTCTGAAAAGGGAGTTAAGATTAGGTATCTATGTACTACACTACCTTTCTAAAATCGCTAAAACCTAAATTCCAAAACACATTGTTTCCAAGGATCTTGGTATAGCATTATGGTCCCGTAGTTGAAAAGACAGAAAAGTGGGAGCAACATGAAAGCACAAAGTAAAAAGCTGATGGGACCTAAAATGGGTAGGAGATGAAGGTGGAAGGACAATGCAGAGAAGTGGCCTAGCCAAAAACCAGAGAAAAAAGATCCTCACATTTTACCCTCAGTTTCCTGAACCTACACTTGTATTCAATAAACTGTGAAATGATGTTGGAAATCACAAAAGAAAGAAGAAAAGTTAAGGATTCAATAAAAATTCGAGTGTCTTACTTTTCTAATTCTTCAGGATCAAATTTCCACCAAGTTTCAGGTTCATGAAACTCTACTCTGTATCCTTTTCCTATGGCCTACACAAAGGAAAGGAACAAAAACCCAGAGAAATACTTCTTAAAGTAAAAAGAAGGCAGACGGATAAATTTCATTTCAATAATACTATGAACTTGCTCAACCAAGAAAAATGATGCTTTATAAAATAATACGGTTTATAAAAGTTAAGACTACTTAACTGGATAAATTTTGATTACTATTCTCAAGGAAACTCAAAACTAACAAGATGAGGCTGGGCATGGTGGCTCATGCCTGTAATCCCAGCACTTTGGGAGGCCAAGGATGGCAGATTGCCTGAGCTCAGGAGTTCGAGACCAGCCTGGCCAATATGGTGAAACCCTGTCTCTACTAAAACTATAAAAATTAGCTGGGCATAGGGGCAGGCGCCTGTAATCCCAGCTACTCAGGAGGCTGAGGCAGGAGAATCACTTGAACTGGGGAGCCGGAGGTTGCAGTGAGTCAAGATGGTGCCACTGCACTCCAGCCTGGGCGACAGAGCAAGACTCCGTCTCAAAAAAACAAACAAAAAAAATTACAACATGAACATGTTCCTTAAGAAAACATCATTCACAATTTTTTTAAAAACTAAGCAAACCAATAAACCTTTTTAGAAAACAAAGGACAAATGCTTTAATAATCAAGATCAAACCAGCCCAAATTTTAGAATGTGAAAAAATTGACAATAAAAAATAAAAACTTTCTCATATTTCATATTTACCACTTCCACATATGGCTTCATTTCCCAAGCTTGTATATTAGTGTTATCTATTATAACTGGAGATCTTCCCTGATCGATAGCTTGTTTCGCTGAAATAAAATATAAATTTAAAAATAAAAAAAAACAGATTAGGTTAAAATACACAAAATAAAAGTTAAACATTTATTGTTAAGAAATGTACATCTCTTTACTTAAAACCGAAACTACGCAATCTCTTCAGTCAGTGTCATGAAAAAAGAACTCCGCTAGATTGAAAGGGAATTAAAGGACATAACCATATGCCAGGTGTATTCTCCAGACTGGATGCTAGCTTTGACAAACTGGCTCTGAAAGGCATTTTGCTGAACTTACAGCTAATAAAGCTTTCAAGTCTAGAACTAACTTTCACTTATGGGAAATATAAGAGATGAACAATTTACATCTGAATATAGACTAAGTAAGAGAAGAGGTGAAAAATTATTTTGACACGGAAGGATGGAGATTATTAAATGAAAATGGCAAGTTACAAGACAATAGTTAAATATAATCCTATTTAGGTCAAAAGAATTGGGGAAGATTTATGGAGACATTAAAAGTGGTCACCTGTAGGTGGTAAGAATATTTACATTTAATATTTTATCTGTATTTTCTCTTTTTTGGGAAAGTTACTGCAGATGATTATCTGTATTTTCTAATTTTCTACAATGTACAAATAATGCTTTTGAAATAAGGCTCATGTTTTTGAAAAGTTACGGATTTAAGTCATTACTTACTAGCAAAACTTTATATATCAAGTAGCTAAAAATCATAGTTCAATTGACTTTGTGGATATTTCTTAGAATTATGGTCTTCAAATTGGGAGTTGCGGTAGAATGGAACTTTTCTAAACTATTATCTCCCATCCAAATGCCATCTTTTCTACCAAGAGATAAGAATCACTGTCACAAGGCTGGGCGCAGTGGCTCACACCTGTAATGCGAGCACTTTGGGAGGCCAAGGCGGGAGGATCACGAGGTCAGGAGTTCGAGGCCAACCTGGCCAATATGGTGAAACCCCATCTCTACTAAAAACACAAAAATTAGCTGGGCGTGGTAGTGTGCGCCTGTAGTCCCAGCTACTCAGGAGGCTGAGGCAGAAGAATCGCTTGAACCCTGGAGGCAGAGGGTGCAGTAAGCCGAAATCGTACCATTGCATTCCAACCTGGGCGACAGAGCAAGATTCCATCTCAAAAAAAAAAAAAAAAACAATCACTGTCACAAGAACCCACTGTTAATGACAGGAGTATGTATATCTCTAAGATATACGAGAGAAGAAAAATAATTAAGAACCCTCGATAAATTTAAAAAACTAAGGGCAGGTGCAGTGGCTCAGGTCTGTAATCCCAGCACTTTGAAAGGCCAAGGTGGGGTGGATTACCTGAGGTCAGGAGTTCAAGACCACCCTGGCCAAAATGGTAAAACCCCGTCTCTACTAAAAATACAAAAATCAGCCAGACTTGGTGGTGTGCGCGTGTAGTCCCAGCTACTCGGGAGGCTGAGGCACAAGAATTGCTTGAACCTTGTAAAGTGGAGGTTGCTATGAGCCAAGACCGTGCCACAGCACTCCAGCCTGGGCAAGAGAGTAAGACTATGTCTCAAAAAAAAAAAAAAAAAAAGAAAAAAGAAAAAAGCCGGGCGTGGTGGCTCATACCTATAATCCTAGCACTTTGGGAGGCCAAGCTGGGTGGATCACAAGGTTAGGAGTTCAAGATCAAGATGGTGAAACCCCATCTCTACTCAAAATACAAAAATTAGTGGAGTATGGTGGCAGGCGCCTGTAATAATCCCAGCTACTCAGTAGGCTGAGGAAGAGAACTGTTTAAACCCAGGAGGCAGAGGTTGCAGTGAGCCAAGATCGCGCCACTGCACTACAGCCTGGGTGACAGAGCAAGACTCTGCTTCAAAAAAAAAAAAAAAAAAAAAAAAAATTAAAAGGCTGAAGCAAAACCAAACATTATATGTTCTCACTCACAAGCAGGAGCTAAGCTATGAGGATCCCAAGGCATAAGAATGACGCAACTCTGGAAACTGAGGGGGAAAGGGTGGGAAGGAGGTGAGGGATAAAAGACTACAAATAGGGTGCAGTGTATACTGCTTGGGTGATGAGTGCACCAAAATCTCACAAATCACCACTAAAGAACCTATTTATGTAACCAAACACCTCCTGTTCCCCAGTACACTATGGGGAAAAAAAGGCTGAAGCAAAATGCAAAGATATGGAAGTTTTCTCACGAGTTAGAATTCAAACCACTACTTTCAACAGAATGAAAACATTTATACAGATATCTAGGACAGACACAATGCTAAAGGTCAGTTAGAATAATCACTATGGGGAAATATATATTTGGGAGTTGTCTCTAAACACCAAAAGAAATTTAGAATTTGGGTCATAAATAGGTGCCATCATCTATTAGTGCTAGCTTGGTGCTAGCACCAAGACACTACCATCTCCCACTGCTCCATCTCTAATCATAATGATCAAATCTTCCATTCAAAACTTTATTAAAATTATTCTCCTAATGTCTGATACGCTCACACATCCAAGGAGTTGTGTTCTAGAAAGTAAGTTTTTATTGACCAAATAAATTTCTGATTTGCAGGAATGGGGAGATTATCTTCTTTCCATTATCATCCAATACCACAGTCTAGTACATTTCACGAGAAAAGAGCTCCTAAGTAAAAACATGTCTGAGTACCCAAATAATGGGAATAGTTTTCTTAAACAAATGAACTATCACACTGTAAGAAAGAGAAGAATTACACTTTGGAGATGTTTTCCATTTTTAGGTGTTCTAAAATTAATTTAGATTATTTTAATAATAAATGTGAAGCAGACAGATTTTCATAGAATGGTGCCTAGCATTTAAAGATATTCAAGTCCATATCTATTGTTCCAGTTTAATAAGATACCACTACTCCCTTTAACACATATAATTAACATAATACAAATGACATAAACATTTTAATGAAATATTCTGTACTAGTTTTTTTGTGTTTTATGAGACAGAATCTTGCCCTGTCACCCAGGCTAGAGTGCAGTAGCACAATCTCAGCTCACTGCAGCCTTGACCTCCCTGGCTCAAGTCATCTTCCTATCTCAGCCTCCCAAGTAGCTGGGACTACAGGTGTGCACCACCACGCCTGGCTAATTTTTATACTTTTTGTAGAGATGGGGTTTCATCATGTCACCCAGGCTGGTCTCTAACTCCTGGGCTCAAGTGATCCGCCCACCTCAGCCTCCCAAAGTGCTGGGATTATAGGCATGAGCCACCACACCCAGCTATGCTAGTATTGTAATGAGAACAAAACGTCCCACACAAATAAACTTACTAGTTCACCAAAGGTATACTGGCTCTGCCCTGTCTATTCATTCAACTTATCTTGTTCCCCTTAACTTTAGGCCAGTAACCCCAAATATTTTCAGAATTGCAATGCCATCATTATTTGATTTGAGCAACAATGTTCTATGGCATTAAAAAAATTAAAAAATTAGTGTTTTTTGAGATTGCTATGCCACTCTCCAATATATTGGAGAAATTCTAGAGAGTTATAAAATCAATACTAGGAAACAGTCTTACGATCAAATTTATCCTTGTGAAACTATAAATTGTAACAGAGTGAAAACTTTTTACTCGAAAACACCCTCAGCCAGGCACTGTGGCTCATTCAAAATTCTACAAAGTTTTTAAAAAAAATAGCTGGGTGTGCTGGTACATGTATGTAGTCCCAGCTACTTGCCTGTAGTCCTAGTTACTCAGGAGGCTGAGGCAGGAGGATCTCTTGAGCCCAGGAGTTCAAGGCCACACTGAGTTATGATTGGGTCACTACACTCTAGCCTGGACAACAAAGCAAGACTCCATCTCTAAAACACACACACAAACATCCTCACTGAAATTCCTTACTGTATTTGACAAATAAAAAGAAAAGCATTACTATTTTTCTTGTATATATTATACTTTAGGGCAACCCTAGTTGGTAGCTTTGAGATAAGTTCTTCATTACAGAATAATTCTATTAAACATAGAAGGAATAACTAACCTAAAAATCACCATTTTGCAATTCTGAATGAAATAACTGACTCAGGAAACAATTTATTGTTGGATAAAACCATCATATATAAGGTTAATAGGCAACCTGATAACAGACAGAGGGAAAAGGTTGTCCCTGTGAAGCTACTGATTAAGCTCACTATTACTAAGAATAGGACAACCAAATACCTGCTTGCCAAAAAAAAAAAAAAAAAAAAGGTTGAATCTAATCAAGCCTCTATTCTAGAGCTAATTTCCATTCACATAAAACAAATAAGAGGAGCAAGTTCAATCAATGGTTAACACCAAGAAGCAAATAGACAACTACGGCATAAGCAACCTAGTTTCTGTAACGATAGTATAAGGGTTAAAAGAGGGAAAATGTTATGGTTTAACTTAATAAAATAAAACAAAATGCGGGCCGGGCGCGGTGGCTCAAGCCTGTAATCCCAGCACTTTGGGAGGCCGAGATGGGCGGATCACGAGGTCAGGAGATCGAGACCATCCTGGCTAACATGGTGAAACCCCGTCTCTACTAAAAATACAAAAAAATAAGCCGGGCGAGGTGGCGGGCGCCTGTAGTCCCAGCTGCTCGGGAGGCTGAGGCAGGAGAATTGCGCGAACCCGGGAGGCGGAGCTTGCAGTGAGCAGAGAGCGGGCCACTGCACTCCAGCCTGGGTGACAGAGCGAGACTCCGTCTCAAAAAAAAAAAAAAAAACAAAATGCATTTTGAGGACTTTGTTTGGATCCCAATTCAAACAAAATAACTTTGAAGAGATTTTTAGGACAACAGAGGAAATTCAATTACACACTAGGTTACATGACCTGAAGGAACTGGCATTTTTTAATATGTGTGATAATGGCAATGAAGTGAAAGCTGTGATTAAGTAAAAAAGTTAATTTGAAATGTATAAAGTATGATATCTAGAATTTGCTTTAAATAGAGGAAGGGGTAAAAACAAAAAGATAAAAGCCCATATACCAAAATCTTAATAACTGATAATTCTGGGTGATAGGTCTATGAGGTTCATTACAGTTTCTTTAACCTCTTTAAAATTTTTCATAATAAAAGCTATCTGTTTAATCATCAATCCACCCTTCTTTTAAAATAACATTGTATACATATTTACTTATAGTTCAGATGAACAGTTTTCAATTCTTACTATATATCAGAATCATCTGGAGAACTTTCAAAACAAAAAATATCAATGTTTAGGCCCCACCCCAGAACAATTAAACCAAAATATCTAGGACTGAGGTCAGGCACACTTTTGTCTGGTGTTTTTTTGTTTTTTTCCTTTTTTTTAAAGTCCCCAAGAAATTCAAAAGTGCAGCCCAGGTTAAGAATCCCTATTAATGATAAACAGAAACTGACCCATGTCCACTAAAAAAATGTATTAAGTAGGTTTCTTTTCTTTTTTTTTTTTTTTTTTTGAGATGGAGTTTCGCTCTTGTTGCCCCCCAGGCTAGAGTGCAATGGCACAATCTTGGCTCACTGCAACCTCTACCTCCTGGGTTCAAGTGATTCTCCTGCCTCAGCCTCCCAAGTAGCTGGGATTACAGGCATGTGCTACTACGCCCAGCTAATTTTTTTATATTTAGTAGAGGTTTCACCCTGTTGGTCAGGCTGGTGTTGAACTCCTGACCTCAGGTGATCTGCCCGCCTCGGCCTCCCAAAGTGCTGGGATTACGGGCGTGAGCCACCACGCCCAGCCTTAAGTAGGTTTCTTGTAGAGCAATATTGAGAAAAACTTTTAATATTCACAACCAGTATATTAAGCCTTGGAAAACAGTAGCATTATTCTCAGGGAAATAACTTGGGGACCACATAACAATAGTACAGATTCACAGTTCTCTGAATTTACTCATCAAGTGCAAAATAAAGCCTCTTAAAATATCCCACACTGCTGTCATTTTACCAGCTTATACTGATACGCTATTTACAGTTTACAAGGCATTTTATCTAAATTCTCTGCTTTTCACAAAAACCCTGATCACGTAGGGCAAGTATAATTATCACCACCTCTAACAGATGAAGAAATTAGGTCTCAAAGCTATTGAAACGGCTTGCCTAAAGTCATTCAGCTGGTAAAAACCTAAGTTGAGAATAAAATCTAGGTCTTTTGACTCTGAGCCCAACATTCTACCCCGGGAGACTTGGCCCAAAACAAACCTCTGTTCTGGTTCCAGTCATGGGCATCACCAAGTTGATTAACATTATACCTGTACCCATCTTGATGGTGAAAATAGTCATCAGTGCTGAACACAATGCCATCCCGATTCTGACCAAGCAGAATTCTGTTAACAAAAGAAATCATAAAGGTGCCATTTACAAAATCTATAACCATCAGAAATAAATATAACTGAAATAAATCACACAGGAAAGGTTATTAAATACATTTCTGATACTTACCTGAAAGTATATTACGAACCTAATAGCCTAAGAGCTGAATAATCTTACAAAGATTTCAGATTTCAAATCATTTCACACTTAAATCTACACAATTACAGACACTAACAAAAACTTTTTTTTTTTTTTGAGATGGAGCTTCATTCTGTTGCCCAGGCTGGAGCGCAGTGGCACAATTTTGGCTCACTGCAACCTGCACTTCCTGGGTTCAAGTGATTCTCCTGCCTCAGTCTACTGAGTAGCGGGATTACAGGTATGCGCCACTATGCCCGGCTATTTTGTGTATTTTTAGTAGAGACGGGGTTTCACTATGTCAGTCAGGCTGGTCTTGAACTCCTGACCTCATGATCCACCTGCCTCGGCCTCCCAAAGTACTGGGATTATAGGCATGAGCCACTGTGCCTGGCCGTAACAAAAACTTTTTAAAGCAGCATTTGTATTGCAACTTTTTAAAACATTCTTTACCCAATCTCAAAATTATATCAACTATTATCCATGTTTTCACTTCAGTAAATTTTGTATTTGTTGTCTAAAATTGCCTCAATCTAGTGCAACAGGTAACCTAAAAAGTAAGCCTAAGCAAGCAATTCATTTGGAAAAAATCATATGTGACTCTAGACAGCTTTAATAAACTCATTTCCTTGAAACATATATGATCCTCCAGTGAAAGTCAGAAATAGTTGGAGGCTTAAGGTTATGGAACAATCTGTGATCCTCCAAAGTATAATCAAACTTTAAATTTTCAAGAAATTAAGTCGCTAAATCAAATTAATTATTAAACACTAAATGAAAAACTCTCAGTTCAAGTCAATGATAATCAAGCTTTGCTTGAAAATGATACTGCCTTAAATTGACAAGCACAGCAAGATTAAGAAGTACTCAGAGAGAACTCACATTACCAATGACTCAGGAAAGAAATTGGGAGTGTGCTGTGATAGGGAACATGCAGCAAGATAATGATTTGGTGAGAGCAACAACGAAAGTATTCTGTTGTTTCTCTCCTCTCCTTCAACCTTTAGGCAATTGGACACCACTGTATACTTCTGCGGGGATTGGTGGGATGGAAGGTGGAAGGAATTGAGAGTAAAAGAATATTGGCCTGGAATGATTCAAACTGACTTACTTCCTACTAAAAAAGTAGTACGGAGGGTTTCAACTGTTAAGATGACAAGTGTCATCTCTCCATCCCTCAGCTTATAATGGTATCATATACAGTTCTCCCTCAATATCCATGGGAGATTGGTTCCAAGACCACAATTGCTGCTCAAGACCTTGATATAGAAATAGCTATTTGCATATAAACTATGTACATCCTTCCATACACTTTAACTCATCTCTGTATTACTTATAATACCTCAGACAATGTGAATACTATGTAAATAGTTATTATACTGTATTGTTGAAGGAATAACGACAAGGAAATAAGTCTGTACATTTCAATTCAGACGCAATATTTTTTCTCAAATACTTTCAGTCCAAGGTTCGTTGAATTCACTGATGTGGAATCAACAAAAATGCAGGGCCAGTGGTATATTTTATAAAAATAAAATCACTCATATCAAAATAAAGCAATTTAAGTGTGTAAAGGTTGGTGCGAAAGTAATCGTAGTTTTTGCCATTAAAACGCCAATTAAAAACTGCGATAACTTTTGCACAAAACTCTATTTCCACTTATAGAATTACAGTTCAAATCACTTCAGACAAACCAAATGAAAGTTAATGGTTTGGGTTGTGTGTCCACTTCCGTGGGGGACTGGAGTTGGATTTCTTTTTCAGGCAGCCATGATTTTTCCAAAACATGTCTATATGACACATTTGGCATTTTACTGCTTATATACAGATAACCCAGAATACGAAAATGCCATGATATTAGCATTCTAAAGCAAAACTCAATCACCCAAAAAGAGATTTTGGTTGTAATCACATATCTAATTATGTTCAACAGTACCAGAAATCCAGATAACACCTTTTGTAGATACTCTATGCTTCCTTTTTTTTTTTTTTTTTCCATTCTACTACTTTATTAGCAGGTGATTTTTTTTTTTTTTTTTTTTGGAGACAGAGTCCCGCTCTATTGCCCAGGGTGGAGTGCGGTGGCATGATCTTGGCTCACTGCAACCTTCACCTCCAGAGTTCAAGCATTTCTCCTGCCTCAGCCTCCCGAGTAGCCAGGACCACAGGTGCGTGTCACCACGCCTGGCTAATTTTTGTCTTTTAATAGAGACGGGGTTTCGCCATGTTGGCCAGGCTAGTCTTGAACTCCTGACCTCAGGTGATCCTCCCACCTCGGCCTCCCAAAGTGTTGGGATTATAGGCGTGAGCCACCGTGCCTGGCACGGGTGATTTTTAAGATGTTAATAATATCATTCTACATGACAATCATAAGAACTGGTTTAAATTATTTCTCAAAACAAAAGGTGGAGGAGTAATAAATCAATTTATATCATTAAAACAAGTAAACATTACATATGAACAAATCTCAATGAAGAACATTTTCTTAAATATATAAATCGTAACTACAGTAAATAAGTTTAGCTTGAAAATACTTTTCCTCCCAGGCAGCATAGACTGTTCACGCATCTTTTTCAAATTCCCTGAATTACTTCAAACCATGAAGCTTTATTTTATGGACTTAAAAAAACACCTATATGAATCTAGGAATATCTCAATGTCATACCAAGCCTCTAAAGCAAAAATAAATTATTTAAGAACATTCATATTTTCAAAATTCTTAGACTCTGTCAGAACTCTCAAGTCAGGTACTAAAATGGATTCACAGAATGTTAAAATTTAGAGATCTGAGTAAGTCAAATATCTACTTTTAAAAAATCAAATCTGGGCTCAGTGGCCACTTGATTTCTTTTTTTTTTTTTTTTTTTAAACAATAGCTATCTTTTTGAGAATCTATTATATGTCAAACACTTTACATAAACCTATGACCTCATTTAATCCTCATAAAAGCCTGCCAACTCATAAAAGCCTGCCAATTTGGTAATAAACCAATTCAGGAGAAGAAATAATTTTGGCAAGTTAGATGGTACTGGGAGAGCTAAGATAAGGCATCTCCTTGACCCCAAAACCAATGGCCTCCAATGATCCCTGCCTCCTGGTGCTCACAACCTTGTATCCTCTTATCTTGCAGTAGGCTTAGATTTAGTCCCCAGCTTCTAAGGAATAGAATATGATACAGGTGATGGGATATCACTTTGGAGATTACTTAAAAAAAAAAAAAAAAAAAAAAGTAGCTTCTGTCTTAAGACTTGAGCTTGCATGCTTTCTCTCTCTCTGAAATAAAATAGCTGTCTTGTGAATGGAGAGAGGCCAAGCAGCAAAGAAATGAAAGAAGCCTCCAGTCTCCAGCCAGCAAGTCTTCAATCCAACATAGCTCACAAGGAACTCAGTTCTGTCAACAATCTTGAGAGAGCTCTTAGAACCAGATCCTTCCCAAATCAAGCCTTCAGACCAGAACAGTCCTAGCTAACATCTTGGTCACAGCATTCTTAGAGACACTGAACCAAAGGCACCCAGGTAACTATAGCCAGAGTCCAGACCTACAGAAACTATGAGGCAGTATGTTTGTTGCTTTAAACAACTAAGTTTTAGGGTAATCTGTTATACAGCCTTGAATAACTAATGTACTCTATACTTACAATTTCTCATTTAAGAAACAAGTGAACCAAGAGAACCTGTTCCCAAAACAAGGCCTAAAAGAGAGTCCATTTTCATGGTTTGTTTTTTTAAATTTCTAAGAACTGCACATTATTTTAATACTTTCATGTGCATTTACAAGTGATTTTCAAAAAAATACAAAATCTGCGTAAAACTGACACATCATGAACACTTTTCCCCTTATTTACTGAGTGCCTTTATATACTTCCTAAGACAACTTTACTGGGGTACTCTAAACACTCCCTGAATTAAGAATAAAGGGACCTACACTAAGAAAGGTAAGTCTTTCCTCTGGAATTAAGGAGAGTTGCTTCCTCCAAAAGAAGGGAGAAAAAAAAGGCTTTTCCCATCTCTCCCTAAACTATGGTAAATATATTAGTTTCTGTAACTTCTATAACACCACAAACTTAAAAACAGGAATTTATCTTACATTTCTGAAGGTCAGTAGTCCAAAATCAGTTTCACTGAGCTAAAAACAAAGTGTGTGCAGACCTGTGTTCCTTCTGGAGGCTTATGGAATTTGTTTCCTTGCCTTTTCCAGCTTCTAAAGGTTAGCTGCACACCTGGGCTTATGGGATGTTCCACCATCTTCAAAGCCAGCAGTGTAGTATCTTCTCTCTTGACCTTTGCTTTGGTCTTACCCTTTCTCTGACTAATTACTCCTGCCTCCCTCTTATTAAGAATCTTTGTTATTACATTGGGCCAATCCAGATAATCCAGGATAGCCTCCCCATTGCAAGATCCTTAACTTAATCAAATTTGCAAAATCCAATTTACCATGTAAGGCAACATATGCACAGCTTTTAGGGATTAAAGCATGGATATCTTTGGAGGGGGACATTATTCACCCTCCCATTGCAAATATCCACAATAATCTGTAAAACAGATGACAACAAAAAACTAATTTCTTAAATTCCCTCACTTTTTATTTCTTAGGGGGTAAAAAAGATCCCAGCATTTACCCATTCTCTATTTTCTTCCAGTTTCCTTATTGGTTTTGTTTTTACTCTTAGTCCTTTATCCAATTAGAAGTTATTTTTGTGAATGATTTAAGACAGGGGCTTTAAATATTTTTCCAGACTGACAATCAAATATCCTATTACCATTTATTGAATATTTTGCCCTACTAATATAAAATGTCATTTCATCAAATATTAAATTTTCTTATATGTAGGTATGTTTCTGGATTCTCTTTTCCTTTTTTTTTTTTTAAAAAAAAATAGAGACAGGGTCTATGTTGCCCAAACTGATCTCAAACTTCTGGCCTCAAGGGATGCTCCCCACCTCAGTCTCCCAAAGTGTTGGGATTACAGGTGTAAGCCACCACACCTAATCTGTTTCTGGGTTCTCTAATTTTATCTACTTGTTATTTTGCTAATTATTGCAAAGTTTTGATTATAGTAGTTTCTAAGTATATTTTGATAGCTGGTGGGATAAGTCCCATTTTTTTCAAACTGTCCTTGTTATAGTTACATACCAAACTTTATTGGCTTCTCAAATTCATACAAAAACTCCTTTGGGATTTTGTTAACGTTTCACTGAATTTATAAATCAATTAGGGAGAAAAGTGACATCTTTATTGGGCTATCCTACCTATAAACACCCTATGGGCCAAAGCTATGGCCAAGACTATTATGGCCTACTGTCTCTCTCAGAATCATCATCAGACATCTTGAACACTTACCATGTTAGAGACATGCTGATTGAGATGTGGGCAAGGACTAAAGTAAATAAGAAGAGGACTTGAACATTACCTCCGAAGAATCTGAATTTTATCCAACAGCCTACACTCATTACCACATACCAAATGTAAACATTACTGATTTTTTTTCTTGTTTTTGAGACAGGGTCTCAATCTGTCACCCAGGCTAGAGTGCAATGGCGTGATCATGGCTCACTGTAGCCTCTGGGGCTCAGCCTCCCAAGTAGCTGGGATACCCAGGTTATCCAGGCTGGTCTTGAACTCCTGGGCTCAAGCAATCTGCCTGCCTTGGCCTCCCAAAGTGCTGGGATTTCAGGTGTGAGCCATGGCGCCCAGCCGGTCTTTTAATTTGGTCCTCCAAATCAGCTCAACTCTGATCTATCAATTTTCACTCTATTATTTTGTCAAAGCTTGTTTTGAATGTGAACTCCTACATGAAGCCATTCCTCACCAAAGAGTACGTGACTTTATATCTAATTCCAAATAACCAAAACCACTTCACTCAAAAAGTGTTGACCTAAAGAGTTACAGACCAGGCTCCTTGAAGTCAGGAGTTATGTATAAGACTACATATCCATTAAGCATTAAAGTGAAGGCAAGGGAAAAAACGTACTATCATTTTATTCCTAGTTTGATCTCTTGCTAGCTTTTGTAACTTCTAAATCACTTAACCTCAACTTCTTTCAGCCTCTGCTCCTTCTATAAAATGAAAAAACAACCCATCTCACAAGACTTTTATGTATGGAAATATTCTGTAAATTGTGAATCACAATACAAACAGTACTTGTTGGTGCTACATACAACTTCCATTCTTATATGTCTATTCTTCAAATAAGTATACGTATTATATCTAATCACCTCTATCATCTCCCACTACAAGGTCTCCTTTAAATTCTATTGAATTTCCACTACTTTATTCACCTTCAGTTTCAACATACTCCAATATGTTGTCTCAAGTCTAACTTTTCTTCCTTAGGTTTCTTCTATACCCACTCTCAGTAAAGTGGTCCTAACTAGCAGACTCTTTTATCCAATTTCCAATTTTCAATTACTTATTTTCTCTGATAGTATATCCTAAATCTAGAAGACTGCCCATGTCTGTGAAACCTCACTCCTAACTTCTATTATTATAGAAGTGAAATTTTATCTTCTCTACAAAATCCTCACTAACACAAAAGGAATCAAAATACAAAGACCAGAATTTAACTTTGGAATGAACTAATTCATTCACAAAGATCACCGTTTATAATCTAGCTTGAAATATCACAAATTAAATCTTTAGTGTCTTTTCTCTGAAAAAAAAGTTCAGTTAGGTTGTTTAGATTGTCTTGTTAGTAAATATAAAACATTTGCAAAATGGTTTCTTGGACTTCTCCATCCTCACCCAAAGATACCAGAAAATTTTCTTTTTCCCCTTGTCTGGCACAAATCTTGAATCATCTTACATAAACTGCAGAAAATTTGTACTGCTTACTTTACACTATTTTTTCACAATTGCATAAATATATTCAAGTGCGTCAAGTTTTAAAATGTAAACAACAAAAAGGAATTTGAAATATCTTGTAATACAATAAACCATCACCAGTTCTAACGCCAATTCAGATATTGCTCACTTCAAACTCCTGAATTTTAAGAAATCAAAAAAGGGTTCCTTCCACCAATCAGTGGTATGAACATGGCACAGTGCTCAATACATTCAAAATTCCTTTCCTTGGGTTGTCTCATTTGATTCCCAAAGTAATTCCAGAAAAATTAAGTATCATTTATTCCATTAACAGAGCAAAACTTGCCCAAGGTGAAAAAGTGAAATAACTGAGTCAATACCCAAATTTTCTCTTTCTTTTCTCACCTCCAGCTGAACTTGAAAAACCCAAATTTTCTAACACTGAGTCCAACTTTTCTTGAATAGCTGACTCAAAAGGGCAGGCCAGGACAGTCCTCAAGTAGCACTGGCTTTCATCACTGTCATAATTATACAAAGTGTTATCTATTTTTAAAGCCCTTAGCAGAATCTAAATATAAACATATATGCCAATTCTCCTTTCTTCTATCAGAAAAGATTTTTAAATAGTTACACTGTCAGATGCTATTCTCAAATACAGCAAATTAAAGATTTTCTTCTACTAGAAACATGAAAGCATTTGTCACTGATTACAAATATCACTTATAGTTTTAACATTTTTATTTTATTTTTTAGAGACAGGCTCTCACTATGTTGCCCAGGCTGGTCTCAAACTTCTGAGCTCAAGTGACCAGCCCACCTTGGCCTCACAAGTGTTGGGATTACATGCATGAGTCACTGCAGCCGGCGACAAGTATCATTTATAATTTTTAAATAATGAATTACCAAGTATTCAGTTGGTATCCTCTACTCACCGAGACAATGTTGTTTTCCCAGAACCAGGCAGACCTCTTAAAAGAATAAGTAACTTCTGCAATTTATTCAACTTTTCCTCTTGAAACTGCTGGTTCACAAACCTGTCTGTTCCATTATGCTTGTCCATGCCAGGATCTTTCCAGTATCTTTCTCTGACTTCACAGAAACCATCACTCACATACTCATTTTGCATACTGCAGCCATTTCCAGAGGGACGAACACTACTCCTATTCTCACTACAGTCAGCATATTCATTGTTCTGATCAAAAGTCATACAATTCCAGTTAACATGACAATTATTTACATAATATCCATTTTGTATGTGAGAGTCATCTTGCGCTTGGAAAATATTTGATGGTAGATTTCGTGGAGCACTGAATCTTTGAATATTTAAATGATAGTTCAAACTGGGAAGAGGTGGACCATGGGGCACTATAAAAGGATGCACTGCCTGCCATTCAGGCCTGAAAGAAGTAAATGAAGTGTCACAAAATGTAGGTATTATTTGTCCATTACAGGGATATTTGCCTGTCTCATTCCCCAAGTTCTGCTGATAATCACAATGTGATGGAAAAACATCATTACTAAGATCTTTCTTTTCTTCGTCAGGTTTTAAGAGACCATTATTATGGCCTTGATAAAATGGAATCAACTGTTCCTGAGAAGGTTCAGATTCTTTACAATCGTTCTCAAAATCATCTTTTTCCTTTTCAAGCTCTTCAATTTCTTTGTAAAACTGGAATAATTCATTGTCTATCTCTGATTTTTCAGAGTTAAATTTCTGTTTCTCTTTTTGTCCTCCTCTGCCATTTATACCATTTAGAGCGTCTGCCTCATTCCTCCCTTCATTACGTTTCTTTTTCTCAGGGGGTTTGTAAATGGGTCCTATAAATGCTTTACTTGTGCTATATATCTCATCGTCTGTGGATACTAATGGAGGACGTACTTCCTGTAAAACCTGTGAATCAATGGATTCAATAACATCTGGTCTATTACCAGGCATCTCATCATGTAAAGGTTTATGTAAATCTGTAGTTTCAATTTTGTTCTCCTGCAAATAACTTTGTCCTCTGACATCAATGACGGTCACAGGGACCCAATCATTTCCAGTTTTCTCTTGGATTCTGTGAAAATCGGCATTACTATGATTGTGAAAAACATATGCCTCTGTAGTTGACTTCAATTTTTTACAGCGTGGTTCACTCGTTACTTCTTCTCTAGGTCCCAAGAATTTACCTTCAATTTCACCATAAGACATCTGAGAAATAAATGAATCATACAATTACTAGCTAATATATTAAAAACCTAAATAAAAGTTTCTTCAAAAACAAGAAATTAGACAAAGACATTTAAATTTGTGATATATTTAATGGTAACAATTTCCCAAAATACCAGTCAATTTTATAACCACTTATTATTTAAGTACAGTCATAACAGGGTGGTTTATGGGAGGGATCTCATTGAATATCCTTTTAAAAATATATACAGATAGATAGACAGATCTCAACTTTAAACGATCCATTTCTGAATTTGGAGGACCTAAAAGATTTAAGTATGTCTAAAAAGTTGAATCAGTAATATATTTTTTTTTATATAGATACACAATTGTGTATTTAAAAGGAGAGTGAAACTGCCAACACCAAATTAACACATACTCAAACTGGCTGACACACTGCATCCTAAGCATTTCCTTACTTAAAATCACTGTGTTTTTGAGAGTAAATAGCTCCAATTCCCTCCCAAACTTCAGAAAACCAATCTCCTTAGCATTCAAATGTTAGATTAACTGAAATGCCAGTCTTTGGAGGCCCTTTACTGTGAGTAGTTAGTGTAAAAGAGGTTCCCAAATGGGTGTAGTGCGTTAATTTAAAAGGAAGGAAGAGATAAGTTGCAAAGACGATAACGGAAATTCGTTTAATAAAGAAATCTGGCAACTCCCAAAGTTCAAAGCGTTCATCTTTTCCGAATAGTCTATCATGAAGACAAAATTTGCTTCCCTTTAGACCTGGCAGAGTGGCTCAAGCCTGTAATGCCAGCACTTGGGAGGCTGAGGCGGGCGGATTGCTGCTTAGGAGGTCGAGACCCGTCTGGCAACACGGCCTAACTCCCTCTCTTAACAAAAATACAATAAATTAGCCGGGCATGGGGGCGCGCACTTGTGGTCCCACCTACTCGGGAGGCTGCGGTGGGAGGACCGCTGGAGCCGGGGGAGGGGCGCCGTGGGGGAGGGGCGCCGTGGGGGAGGGGCGCCGTGGGAGGGGCGCCGTGGGAGGGGGCGCCGTGGGGAGGGCGCCGTGGGAGGGCGCCGTGGGAGGGCGCCGTGGGAGGCGCCGTGGGGAGGGGGCGCCGTGGGGGAGGGGCGCCGTGGGGGAGGGGCGCCGTGGGGGAGGGGCGCCGTGGGTTGTGGTGAGCCGAGATGGCTCCACTGCACTCCGGCCTGGCGACAGAGCGAGACCCCCTCTCGGGGGAAAAGAAAAAAATTGAAACACCTTAGGGACCTCAAAGTACAGCCCAGAGGCCTATTCCACCCAATTCTTCATTGTGCCACTCTCTGATGTTCCTAACACGAGAGAAAAAGAAATGGACAAAAAAGCGAACTAGAGAATGATGGAAGTAGGCCACAGAGCTGGAGGAGGACAACTGCAGAGAACGCCAACAGGCCTCTCTCGGTTTCTCATTTCCCCATTCGAAATGTGTCAGAAAAGTCCCGAAGAAGAGCAACCGGGTTGCGTTAACAGAGCGTGGCCTATACACTATCCGAGCTCCACGACTCCAGACTTCCAGTGAGCGGCCCAGGCAGAAGTGCGTCACCCAGCTTTTTTTGTCCCAATGGAGACATGCTCAGGTCCTGTCCAGGAATTCTGGAGGTCTCTGAGGCGCAAAAGTTCACACTGAGTTTGCTTCTACGTTTACAGCTAATCTAAAGGGTCAAGAAGTGAAAGCGAAAAACGCCACCACCACCCCACCCTCACTTCTAAAACGGGGTGTCTACTCACCTTACTCTACCCCTACGCATTGACCTTTACCTCCCAATAAAACCTTCTTCTTGGAAGCCACGAACCTCTGTGAAGGTGAAAGAAAAGCGGAGACACAGCCCTAAAGCCGAGGTCTGAAAGAACTAAAACCCCAGCTCTCAGAATCGCGGAAACAAACGGCACCTCCGTACGCAAGATGGCGACCACCTCTCGGTTACCCAGGCTAAAACTAGGCTTTTGCGCCAGGCATTGTGGGAATTGAAGTCTGACGTTCACACCGGCTCCGTAAACCTCACGGCGCGGAGACTGGGTCTCCCAGAATCCATGGCGTGATAAACGCACTAATTTGGCAACTAAAGCAGACCGGAATTAGTTCCTAGACCTGGAGAAGGGAAGTTATCGAAAAACACCAACTTTAGTTAAAAGAAAGCAGCGACCTCCTCTGGCGTTCGCCCCCGAAGGAAAAGGGAATATGAGAACCTGGCGCCCGAAATAGATGTGTAACCGGCTCTCAGTGCATGCTTCTTAGGGCTTTCTAGAAGACAAAGAGCCAGCTGACTTTTCCAGCGGAACTCCACAGGTGGTATCACAAATTTGGATTCTGGCCGTTTTTACGAAAGACCACCTGACGTAATTTTAGGTTCATGCTTTTCTGTGGAAGGAAATAATTACTGCGGCGCAGGTCCCCAATAACAGATAAAAATACCTATGAGCAAAATCGCTTAGTGTCATGTCGCTGTTTTGTTTTAGGAAATACAGACTGATCACTGAGCTTTCCCATTAAGAGTCAATATATGCAAAGCACGTAGGACAGCGAGCTCCTGGTAAGAATAAGCGTTATGTAAGTGTTTGTTACATTAAAAATAAATACAAATCAAACAGCTGGCAGTCCTCAACTGAGGGCTTCTTTTCTCTTCCCACCACCTCTCCAACCCCTCCTTCCTCCACTGGTTCCCCATCCCCCATAATTTCAGGTCCTTGCAAGGAAAACTGATCATCTCTTCATATTTAAGTAATTATTTCTATGGATATGTACCTTTTTCCATCTCCAACGTGTTAACAATTTCATTTGTTGTTAAAATTACAGTCTGGAATATCTACATTTGATTATTTAACAGCCTTGTGATCAAAGGAGTTCACCAAAGCAACCCATCTTAGAAAGAAATCTATCTCAAATACCGATTTGTACTATGACCTTTGTCTTCTCATAATTAAAGTCATGCATCCTCCTTTGAAACAGCCACATTTACATGAGGTTGTGGCGTTCTCAGTGTGTTACATCCGCAGGCACACTAGGCTCATTATAAAATAATATTAATCTTTGTCACCCCATCAAGGTATTGCCCTGTTTCTCCATGGCATATTTTCCCCCTTAAAACTAATAAGCAGCCGGGCACGGTGGCTCACGACTGTGATCTCAGCACTTTGGGAGGCTGAGGTGGGCGGATCACCTGAGGTCAGGAGTTCGAGACTAGCCTGGCCAACATGGTGAAACCCCGTCTGTACTAAAAATACAAAAATTAGCCGAGCATGGTGGTGGGCACCTATAATCCCAGCTACTTGGGAGGCTGAGGCAAGAGAATCACTTGAAGGTGGAGGTTGCAGTGAGCCGAGATCATGCCATTGTACTCCAGCCTGGGTGACAAGCGAACAAGAGCGAGACTCCATCTCAAAAAAAAAAACACACACACACAAACTAATAAGCAATCAATCTGTGAGGTTGTACTTTGAGACCAAGCAAATATCCTGCTCCTAATCAAACTTTACCTTATGATTCAGATTCCATAAATGTTGGGATTTTTTTTTTTCCCGTCTTCTTCAAGTCTTCCACATTTGTCAATCCAGATGCTGCTATAGAGCAGAACCCTACTTGTTTATTTATTCACTATCGGTATGAATTTATGGATTTCTTTTGTTCAGGCGGTTATACTCCATTGCTCTCCTTACTTGTTTACTATTAATAGACTATTTTTAGGATGGTTTTAAATGCACATAAAAATTGAGCAAATGGTAGAGTTCCCATGTACCACATACACACACACAGTTTCCCTTATTACTAACCTCTTACATTGTTACAACTAATGACCTAACATTGATACATTAACATTAACTTGTTATAACTTATTAGTTATAACATATTATATGTAACATTGTTACATATCAGTTATATATTAGTTATATAACTTATTCATTATTCAAATTTCCTTCATTTTTACCTAAATGCCCTCTCTGTTCCAGGATTCCATCCAGGATACCACCTTACATTTAGTTATCATGTTTCCTTAGGCTCCTTTTGGTTGTGACAATTTCTTGTCCATGAGGCATTTTATTTGTAAATATATGTATTACATCCCTAGAAAAAGAATCCCAGGATTTTCCCTCCGGTGTGTTTTCATCTTGTTTCTTCATGGTCTATGATGCCAGCTGAGGTTGTCAGTACAATGAAACCAAACTGGTGGGATGGAAGCAGATTATTCTGCCATTTTTCCAGATCTTTGAGTTGCACATCAAATCTGGGGCTGATCATTCCACACGTGTTTAGCCTGCCTGTGAGGTTCACAACAATTTTCCCAGCTCTGTGATCATCAATGATTTCAAATTCACCAGTGTAACCATGCTTCATCATCACAGTGAGAAACCGGACGATGACTTTGGAACAAGGCCTAATAAGCACCTGGCGTTTGCCTGTTCTTTTCGGCATTGTTGATGCTTTTGAGAGCATCAGCCAGGACATTCATGTGCACCATTGCGGCGGCGTGGAAAGGTGGCGGAAAGAAGACCGGAGGGGAGAGTGCAAGGAGTTGGCTGCGACAATTTCTTAAATTTATTTTTTTAGTATCTTAAGCTTATTTTTGGTGACCTTGCCTTTTTGTTTTGTTTTTGACAGAATCTTGCTCTGTCGCCCAGGCTAGAGTGCAGTGGCACCATCTCGGCTGACTGTAACCTCTGCTTCCCAGATTCAAGAGATTCTCCTGCCTTAGCCTCCTGAGTAGCTGGGACTACAGGCGCCCACCAACAAGCCTCGCTAATATTTGTATTTTATTAGAGATGGGGTTTCACCATATTGATCAGGCTGGTCTTAAACTCCCGAATTCAAGCGATCCACCCACCTCTACCTCCCAAAGTGCTGGGATTACAGGTGTGAGCCACAGTGCCTGGCAGTCCTTGACAATTTTGAGGAAAACTGATCAGATATCTTGTAGCATATTCTTATGTTGGGATTTGTCTGATGTTTTTCGCAGCCTCCAGAACTGTGAGAAATAAGTTTGTTATTTGTTATTATTTTTATTTATTTATTAAGACAAGGTCTTACTGTGTCACCCAGGCTCTAGTGTAGTGGCACAATCACAGCTCACTGCAGCCTCAGCCTCCCGGGCTCAGGTAATTTTCCCGCCTTAGACTCTTGAGTAGCTAGGACCATAGGCATGCATCACCATGCCCTGCTAATCTTTGTAGGGATGGGTTTTCACCATGTTGTGCAGGCTAAATTTTTCTTCCTTCTAAATTACCCAGTCTCTGCTATTTCTTTTATTTTCTCTTTCTTTTCTTTCTTTCTTTCTTTTTTTTTTTTTTTGGCCACTTCTACTAGGGTGTTTGTTTTGAGGCAGGATCTCACTCTGTCACCCAGCCTGGAGTGCAGTGGTGCCATCAGAGCTCACTGTAGTCTCAACCTCACGGGCTCAAATGACCTTTCCTCACTCAGCCTTCCAAGTAGTAGCTGGGACTATGGGTGTGTACCACCATGCCCAGACAATTTTTGTCCTTTTCGTAAAGACAGGGTCTGACTCTATTGCCCAGGCTGGTCTTGAATTCCTGGCCTCAAGTAATATTCCTGCTTTGGCTTCTCAAAGTGCTGGGATTACAGGCGTGAGCCACCGCGCCCCGCCCAGACATTTCTTAAAAGAAGACGTGCAAATAGCCAATGCTTAATAGGGAAAAAGACAGTCTCTTCAATAAATGCTGTTGGGAGGCCTGATGTGATGGCTCATATCTGTAATCCCAGCACTTTAAGAGGCTGAGGTGGCACCAGGCACCGTGGTTTACGCCTGTAATCCCAGCACCTTGGGAGGCCAAGGCGGGTGGATCACCTGAGGTCAGGAGTTCAGGACCAGCCTGGCCAACATGGTGAAACCCCATCTCTACTAAGAATACAAAAATCAGCCAGGCATGATGACAGGCGCCTGTAATCCCAGCTACTCAGGAGGCGAAGGCAGGAGAATCACTTGAACCTGGGGGGCAGAGGCTGCAGTGAGCCCAGATTGAGCCACTGTACTCCAGCCAGGGCAACAAAGCAACCCTGCATCTAAGAAATAAATAAATAAATAAAATAAAGCCAGGACGCCCCTCAGGTTTGGTCTATCTTTGCATGTGCCCACTTCCTCCTTTGACCTTCCCTGCCGTATTTTGATGCAGTACAAAAGCTCTCACCAGAAGTTGTGCAGATGCTGGTGCAACGCTTCTTGTACAGACTGCAGAAATGTGAGCTAAATTAACTTCCTTTCTCTATAAATTACCCAGCCTCAGCCTCAGATATTCCCTGATAGCAACACAAAATGGACTAAGTCCGTGGTGTCATTAAGTAGGAAAAGAAAAGCTAGCAAGAGAAATGGGCCATGTAGTGAGTAAAAGGGAATAAGTATTGATGAATTCAGTTTTGCGCATGGTACATTTTATTTGCCTGGAAGATCACCAGATGGTAGTGTTGGGGATTTGTCTGGATTCAAGAGAGGAGTTGGACATGAAGGTATTGGGAGTTTTTAGCGTGGAAGAACTAGTTGAAGCCTTGGGCTTAGCCAGACTGATTCAAGGAGACTACGAAGATTACGTAAGAAAACTAGAAGGCTGAGATAAAAATTCTCAAGATCCCCAATATTGAACAAGCAGGCAAGAAGAGGAGGCTGCAAAAAAGAACAGAGAGGTGGGAGGTGAAAGTATCAAAAAGAAGGTGATGACCAAGAGCGTTAAATGCCCCAGGGAGAGGGGGACAACTAGGAATCCAAGGAACTGGAGGCGAGGAGCTCACAGGAGGCACTAGTGAAGCAGTTTCCATGGCATGGTGGGAGTTGGAAGCCTCATTAAAGAAAGATTTAACTGTGAGTAAGAAGTGGGTTTTTTTAGAGCATGGTTATGAGATTGTTATGATGTCTAATATAACAGATACATAATTTTTTATATAGACAATATCATATGTAAATGTGTGTTAAAGCCACATGGTAGGTGCAGCTAGCATTCTAC